TCAAGTAAGTGCAGAGCCATTCTTAAGACATTGCTCCTGAAAAAAACACTAGAGGCATTTTTCCAACCAAGTACCTGACTACAGTAACAGTGCACACTACTTCATCAGTATAAAATACAAGCCATGAATAAGCTGCAAAATAACTTTGAAGATTTATGTATTTAGGGGATAAAACATATCAATAAATCTTTCTTACTTGCTGTGTACCCATGAAAAATTACACGAATAAGAATTAGCTCGTGGACTAACATGAGGAGCAGGAGAATTCACATGGCTACAAGTACGTACATGCGGCATAAAAAGAAAAAACTCCCAAATAACCACCACTCAACTTTAAAATAAAGAAAACCTGTTGCTAAAGAAATGAATTACCATGAGAAAGGACATCATCTGAAATAAAGAGACACTGATCATGCTCAGGAATGTACAGTAAATGCATGAATAGCACTGTGTAATAACTACTCCAGGTACATACAGCTTTTTGTGCACTTACTGAACTGGCCAAATTTTTTTTTTTTAAAGCTAGTCATAATACTTCTGGAGTATTAGTATGAAATTCTTATACAAAACTAATACCATTTAAATAGAGCAAAATTACTTTTGAAAGCTCGCCTTTAATTGTAGTTGCCACAGACTTGGATGCTGCCTCTGGTGAAGACGAACCATAACGTGTGTAAATGAAGATTACAGTTGAGATTACTTGAGTTAATAAAAGATATTCATTTATTTCAGTATTTTAAATGGAGTAATACTTAAAATTTCTGCTCGCTCAAGTGCTGTAAATGTGTGATTTACTTCATTTTAATCAAGGGGAAGTGTTAAAACTTAGAAAATTGGAGGCAATAAGATTGAATCCAAAGAACAGGAGATAAGTCCAGTTCCTTGTCTTAAGAGCCTCTTCACCAGCATTAAGGAACTTCCTTGCTGGAAGTATATGTAACTGAGCCAAATTTATTGGAGTAAATTTTATTAATCAATTGTCTTTAATATAATGCATTTTAAGTGCATCCATGCCAGGAAACATGCCTATTAGAAGATTTAAAATTTATATTAATTTTGCAGAGGTTGATTTTTCTTCTATAAATTTTTCAGAAATCAATTTTTTTCTATAAACAATTATTCAGTGCTATGTAAATGAGGTATTACCATGTCATCCATATTTACTTTTAACAGTACTTCAAAATAAATAGCAATTTTGTCAAAAAAAATTTCATATTAACAAACTTTCCTCTTCAACCACTTCCTAAATTCTTGTTTTGAAACAATCAATAAGAAATAATGCAAAAAGCTGTACTAGTAATACATACATTAATGGAGGGGTTTCTTATTAAAAAAAAAAAAAAAAAAATCCCAAATGTCTCCACAATAAGTTGAAAACAAAGTAAGATCAAAATCATTCCACAGTCCTGAGCATGATCACCAAATGGAATGCACTCTCACCCAATTGTGATCAGGTCCTCAGTAATGATAAACTCCCAGAGGTGGGACATGACTGCTGCATCTGCCCTGCAAGGTGTTTGGAAGTAAACTATTTATAAATATTTCTGGTACAAACTAATGGATATCAAGAAATTACTTATAACATATTCTTCCAAAAATTTAAAAAGGAGGTATGGGGGAGAATAGGAGAAAGTATGGGTGAGGAGGGCAATGAATGATTACAGGGCATTGGCAAGTATAAATGATGGTTAAGTCACTAAAACAGAAGAGTGCCTGTTATGTATGGGGATCAAGCAACACTAAGAAAAACTATTTTTAGGTATGAAATTATTATATGAAAACTACATTCTGTACACCTAACGAACATATAACAACAAAAGGGTTTAACTCTTAAATGGTCCAAACGTATATATATGTTTTTTCAACATTTGAAAGTATGTAAAAAAATGTAGATCTTCTTTCTTGTTTTACATTTAAAAATGTGCAAAGAAACTGTTATCTACATTTTTTTTTTTGTTATTTTTAAAAATATGTAAAAAAAAGTAGATCTACTTTTGGAGCACTACGGATTTGAACGTCGATTTGTTTGGACCGTTTAAGGGTTAAGCAAATACTCTGCCATAGGTAAATGTAGGTTACTACCTGTATAAGCAAGAAGAATTTGGCACTTGATTACATTTGTGGTTTCATAAGAGGTATACAATTTTTGTTCATCTTTATTGAAAAAATTCCAGTGGTTTTGACACACCATTTATTACCAACCATAGGATGACATATGCATAAAGTTTAAAGGAGGGGAAAAGTATACTTTCACTCCCAAAATTCAGATTTTTATACACAGTCCCTATCAGTTGAGGAAGGGAAGGAAATACTTTTTTCAACAGATGGGAATAAATCAGCCATTTCTTACATCGGCAGTCATCATACAGTGTTTTCATATCCACTGGATATCTTTGCTCTATATCATGGTTAAAATGTGAGGAAACTGGAGATAATGATGATATATAAACTGTTTATCGCCTCAAAAAACACGTATCAGTAGTTCTAGCCTCTGTGAGCAACTTAGCCAATAGAGAAGTCACACTGAATAACTTGTCTAATTATACAGGGCCCATGCAACCCTCCAAAGGAACCAGTAAGGCAGTGTCATTTATAAATTTGCACATACTCATCAGTATTTTTCCCGCATTTGAATTGCACTAAACCGTAAATACAAATTAAAAATCACTTACTGTAACAGCCCTGGGTCCATCACATTTCTCTAATTGACCTTGAGACCATTGCAACCCTTTAACTGACCTAAGAACCACTGATACTCCCTAGAGGCTCATAAACCAGTCAACTCTTCAACCCAACAAAAATGGCACTAGTCAGTGATAATAGTGACTAGTGCTTGGAAACTGCTATTTTGTAAAATGGTCTTATTATGGCTGGTAATATATGGTATGCTTAAACACTTTCAGCTTTTCTAAATTATTAGGGGTTGTAGCACACAATACTATTACAAAGTATTTGAAAATGCGTTTTTCTACAGTTTTAACTGAAACTCCATAATTTCCAATTATGAACCCTTGATCATTCTGATCCCATTTTCACAAAATAGTCCTAGTTTGTGCTGGTTCCAAAAAATCTAAGTTATCTGGCTTATATTTTGTTGGTCGGTCTCTCTCTCTCTAGGTCTCGCTCTTTCTCAGTCTCTCTCTCTCGGTCTCTCGGTCTCTCTCTCGGTCTTTCTCTCCCAAATGAAATTTTAAGATTTTAATTGCTCCTTAAAGGCTATATTTTTGTAATTCCAGGATAAATTAGTCTCTTACAGTCACTTTGGCCCAGAAATGAATCAGCCTTATAAATTTGAAAGGAAATATTACACCTGTACAAACTACTGAAAAATTGAGAAATGTAGAAAAAACATAAAATGAACAAAAGTTCGCCTGATTGACTTGGCATCTTACAAGTTAAGCAAGACAGAAAGGACCAGCAAATCTGCTAGTGCAAAATGTTTAACATGCTTCTGTTTCACACACTGAAATACGTACATACTGATGTGTACATATAAAGCTTGTGTGTGCATGTCAACATATATCTGTGTGTAGGGCCTATGTGCACACAAGAACTTCTATATACAGTGCTCGTCATAAGAATAAGTTCGGTGCAAAGTATCTAAAGTAATTTAAAGTTCAAATTAATATCCTACTCCAGCACCTTTATTGAGACAAAAAGCTGTACTAGCCTGGCAAGTCTAAGAGGGATTTCTCCAGACTCCCTATGGTTACTGGCTACATCTTGAGTGCCTTCTGGGCTTGTGTGACTTGACAGTTTTGTGTCCATGGTCTCCTTGCACTGTGTGGTCTTGAGGACCAAGTTTCCTGGACATTTCTGGATAATGATGAATTCATAGGGCCAACACAAGAGGCAACTGCAGAGTTCATTGGATTACATAAGGCAGGCCATCAAATGAAGGAAATAGTAGAAGCCAGTGGTGTGTAAGAGCATCCAGTGAGAACCTGGCTGCATGTTTCTTAAGGACAGTGTTCATGACATGTCCACACTAAAAAATCATGTCCAGGGAAGCCTAGACAAATGTACCTACTAATGTTAACTGTAACATACCTAGAATTGGTCTGTTATCATTTATCCTAATCATTCAGTGTGGTGCAAGGTTTTTATGCAAAACAATGCTTCTTGCCATACCACTATATCTGTTGTTTGATGGCTTCATGACTTAGGTACCCTTCTTCAATGACTAGTCAGGAAACTCCCAGACCTGAACCCCACTGAGAACCTTTAGGATGAGATAGAGGGGGATTTACTTGGGAAAGGATATCAGCCCACTCACATGACTTTAGATGCCATATGTGAGTTGTGGGGGAATTTACCTTATGAAGCCTTGGAGAATGTATGTTAATCACTTCCCAGATGGTTGAAGGATGTCTTAAGATGCAAGAGACAACCTACTTTGTGGATGTGATTTTAGGGGGGGACCAGCATATTTAAATGACGAGCACTGTACATGCATTTATTTGGAATGGTTCCAGGATCATTGCCTCCATGGCCCAGTCTTTGACTGTGCCTCATAAATTAGTAATAAAATATTACAAGGATAGGAATTATTAGGGAACACAAAGTTAAGCTACATATATAGCGTACGTAAGCAGAAGTCTAAAATTTACCAGTCATCTTGCAGGTTCATGAGACAAAAAACCAGCAATCCTGCCTGTGTGCAGAACATAAATGAAATTCTATTTCATACTCATAACATGATTGTAGCATCTACTACCTACATGTAGAGCCCATGTGCACATATATACTGTACAGTCATTGAGCACATGTAACTACGTGTGCATACAGACTTTATACAAGAAGTCCCTATGCACATGTAGAGTCCTACATGTGTATTTATTAATTTAAATTTAGTGTTAAGTGTTTTTAGTTTTTGACTTATCAATTCAAATATCTAAAACTTTGAGACAGTTAAAACATTATTGGGAATTTGAATGCTAAGACTATGATAGTTTGCAAGAGGATAAGCACAAGTAACAATTACTTTTTATATTACTTACCAGCTGTGTTCTGCATTGAAGCCAATCTGCAAAGTAAAACCTGCCTTGAGAACAGAATGCTAATACCTCACTCAATGCAGCCATAAAATCTAAAATATAAAGCATGAAAAAAGTATGTTAAAAACCAATTGCAGTAGTACCTCAAGTTACAAACTTAATTCGTTCCAGAAGGCTGTTCGAGTGCCGATACCAAATGAATTTGTTCCCATAAGGAATAATGTAAATTAGATTAGTCTGTTTCAGACCCACAAAAATACACTTACAAAAGCACTTACAAAAATACACTTACATAATTGTTCGATTTGGAAGGTGTTCGAAATTTGAGGTACCACTGTACCAGTAATTGAATACAGAATCACCTTTATTAAGGAAAGCTAGACAGAACATAAAAACACAAAATCAGTATAAAAATAATCCTAATTTGCCAACACCAAAATTAAAGATGACCCATTTCTAAACAGTTACAGGAACCTGGTAATGTACAAGTACACTGACATTGTAAACAAGATAATACCTCCTATATTCTCACTAATGAGTAATGGTATTGTGCAGATTAGGGACCTGGCCCTCGAGTACCTTGTGTGCACAGGTATATATTATCAAGTACGTTTCTCTTCTCCATTTCACAGAGTACATTCATAGTCTGATTCATTCCCAGTGTATAGTAGGGCCCCACTTTTATGGCAGGTTAGGTTCCAGGCTACTGCTGGAAAGCAGACATCGCCGCAAAGCAGAACGCCATTTTTTCCACTTATAAATGCATTATAAATGCCAGATAAGTTTATAACTAGGCATTAAAAACAATAAAAAGTAAACAAACACACAGTACATTCATTACTTACCTTAAAATATTTGTAGTTTCAATGTAGGGTGAGAGGCGAGTAGTATTTATTGTAAGAAGTCAGGTGTGGGAGGTATAGTAGCCAGCCAAGCCAGACCATCCCACCCACACGTAATATACTACAGCACTTAAAGCGCCCCAGAGCGATAAAATGCATATACGTACAGTACACTCATTACTTACCTTAAAATATTTGTAGTCCTAATGTAGGGTGAGAGGTGAGTAAACGAGGTACAATGAATAAACGAGAATGAGAGAACGAGTAAACGAGAGAGGAGAGACAGGCATAGTGTGTAAAGAAACAGATGAGCGCATCTGGTTTTGGTTCATACACAACATCTCATATTAATGTTAATTTATTGTACTGTGGGGTGTATTTATGTTTATATGTTACGTAGTGTGTTTATATAATTTTGAAAAAAAAATATCAAATGGATTACTGAAAATGTTTAAAGTAATATACAACATTTAATGTGCCTCAGTGATTATTATTGCGTATTATTATTATAGCATCCTCAACACTAAAAAGACATTCTTAGTGATTTTAATGTGTACCTGCAAGCCAGCAAAGTGTCTAAATTTATTTAGGTACAGGTACACGTAAGTATCATTATCACGGTACGTACATATATATAAACCATGAAATAATTTTAAATATTATTTTATTTTTTATTATCACACTGGCCGATTCCCACCAAGGCAGGGTGGCCCGAAAAAGAAAAACTTTCACCATCATTCACTCCATCACTGTCTTGCCAGAAGGGTGCTTTACACTACAGTTTTTAAACTTCAACATTAACACCCCTCCTTCAGAGTGCAGGCACTGTACTTCCCATCTCCAGGACTCAAGTCCGGCCTGCCGGTTTCCCTGAACCCCTTCATAAATGTTACTTTGCTCACACTCCAACAGCACGTCAAGTATTAAAAAACATTTTTTCTCCATTCACTCCTATCAAACACGCTCACGCCCTGCCTGCTGGAAGTCCAAGCCCCTCGCACACAAAACCTCCTTTACCCCCTCCCTCCAACCTTTCTAGGCCGACCCCTACCCTGCCTTCCTTCCACTACAGACTGATACACTCTTAAAGTCATTCTGTTTCGCTCCATTCTCTCTACATGTCCAAACCACCTCAACAACCCTTCCTCAGCCCTCTGGACAACAGTTTTGGTAATCCCGCACCTCCTCCTAACTTCCAAAATACGAATTCTCTGCATTATATTCACACCACACATTGCCTCAGACAAGACATCTCCACTGCCTCCAGCCTTTCCCGCTGCAACATTCATCCCCCATGCTTCACACCCATTGGTGTGATTTTTATCTTTTAACTCCACGCCTCTTCCCAAGCCCTCGCATTTACTACTCTTAAAAAACCCCATCTATAAATATAAAAAAAACAACCGGGTGACATCACAACCTTGTCTAAGGCTATTTTTATGGGAAATAATTTCCCTGTCCTACATACTCTAATTTGAGCCTCATATCCTCATAAAAAATCTTCACTGTTTTCAGAAAACCTACCCCCTATACCATACACCTGCAACATCTGCCCATTCCCCCCTATCCCCCTGTCATACCCTTTTCCAAACCCAAAAAAGCCACAAAGCCCTCTTTAGCCTTATCTAAATATGTTACTTATACGTTTCACTGTAAAACCGGGGCCCACACCCCTCCTTTTCCCTAAACCCTCTTTTTCATCTGCTTCCTATTTCCATTTACTTTTAAAATTCTTTCAATAAATAACTCTACCATCATTTACCAGGTATACTAAAAAGATTACCCCCTTTTAAAATTTTTGCACTCTCTTTTGTCCCTTTGCCTTTTAAAAAGGAACATGTGCTTCTGCCAACCCCCTAGGTACCTTACCCTCATCCTACATTTAAAAAATAATTGCACCCCCACTCCAAAATATATCCCCCCCCTGTTTTTTAACATTTCTATATATCCATCAACCCGGCTCCCTTTCCCCCCTTTCATTTTACCTACTGCCTCACGAATTTCCCCCACACTCACAACTGGCTCTTCCCACTCCTAAAAAGAGTTATTCCCCCTTCCCCTTCCCGAAATCACAGCTTCCCTATCTTCATAAACTTTTTTAACAATTCCTAAAAAATTTCCCCCATTTCCAAACCTCTAATTCCATTTAATAACCTCCTTCCTATTTTTAATGAAAATCCTTTGTTCTCTAGGTTTTCCTTAAACTTGTTAATCTCCTCCAAAACTTTTTCTTTTTTCAACAAAATTTGTTGAAACATCTCCCCCATCTCTCATTTGCTCCTTTTTTTACATTGCTTTACCATCTCTTAAACCCCTCTCTTTTTCTCCATATACCCTTTCCCCCCTTGCTCACTTCTATTTGTAAAAAAAATTTCATTGCTAACTTTTTCTCCCTTATACTCTCTTTCCATCATCATTCCCCAATCGTCCTTTCCCCCCGCACCCCCTTTCTGTAACCACAAAATTCGCTGAAAAACTCTAACATTACATTTTTAACCCACCCCATACCCCTTCGACCCCATTGCCCTTTTCTCACTAGCCCACTATCCCCCATGCGTTTAATTTCCCTAAATGCCTCCTTTTAGTTTTTTAAACCTTCCCTCTCTTTCCCTGATGCTTCTATTCTCCATGTATCCCTTCCCTTTACTTCAGTGTGCTAAACTGAAAGTGATCTGATTTATCTGTGCCCCTCTATAAACATTTACATCCCGAAGTTACTCAAATTTTTATCTACCAATACATAATCCAACAAATACTGTCATTTGCCTACATCATATCTTGTTATTTTTTATCCCTTTTTTTTAAATATGTATTACTATAATAAACCCTTTCGTAAAAATTAATCAAAGGGCTCCATTATATTTACCTGGACCCCAAACTTACCTCCCCACCCTCTCTAAAAGTTTTTTCCCATTTGTATTTAGGTCCGCTAACCCCCAATTTTCTCTCAATGGGTTTAAAGGTCCTATACATTCACTTAAAAATCTCCCAAAAACTCTCTCTCTTCTACATTCCCCCCTTCTCCGGTGCATACACACTTTTGACCACTTTTGCATCCAACCCCTTTTTTTTTAAACCACAAATTCTTGAAATTTTCACATTCATATTTTTTTTTCTCCTTTCCCTAAAAGATCTTCAAAATTACTGCTACCCCTTCCTTTGCTCTAACTCTCCGTACTCCGATTTTCCCATTTATTTCCCCCCATCGAAAAATCCCCCACCCCCCTTTAGCTTGTTTGCTTAGGGCCCGGACATCCCACACACACACACACCAAAAAACACACCACCACAAAAAACATGGAACACGTTAAAAAAATCAGAGCAGTACCCCATATGTGTATGAGGGAAAAAAACGGAAGCTGGTTTCCCCAGACTTAAATACAGTAAGGGACCCTTGGTTATCGGCCGCAATCCGTTCCAGAAAATCGGTCGAAAACCAAAATGGCCAAAAAAGGAAATAGTGCAAAAATGGTGTGGGGGGGGGGGTTGAAGAGGGTTGGTTAGTTTTAAAAATGCAGTATTAGAATGTGGGGCAGAAGTTTGTGGTTATAGGAGGTGGGGGCAGGGGGAAAGGGAAAGAGGTGGGGGTTTTAATGATGAAGTAAAGGGTGTGATAAAGAGAAAAAAGGAGTTTTTAGGGTTTTTACAAAGCAGAAGTGTTATAAGAAGAGAGGTATATGGGGAGTAAAAGAAAGGTAAAGAGAGTGGTGAGAGAGTGCAAAAGGAGAGGAGATAGAGGGGGGGAGGTACTGTCAAGAAAATTTTTAAAGAAAATAAGAAAAAAATTTTTGGGTGAGTTAAACAAGTAAAAAAGCTGGGAAAATATGGATTTGTCAGTTTTAAAAAAGAGTTGGGGGGTTTGTAGATGGGGAGATGGAGGATTGGGTAGATGGGGGGAGAATATTTTTAGGAATTTTAAAGTTAAGGGAAAAAACAGAGGCGTAATTTATGCAATGGTCAGGGAGGTATACAACTTTTTGGAGTAAAAAAGAGCAGAATGTAAGTGGGGGGAGGTAGTGAGGCATTACGTAAAAAAGAAAGGGGGTAAAGCAGCTGGAACTGATGGGGTCTGACAGAAATGTTAAAAACAGGGGGGTTTTAGTGTTGGAGTGGTTGGTTTCTTTTGTTTTAAATGTATAAAGAGGGGAAGGTACCCCAGGGATTGGCAGAGAGCTGTATAGTCCCTT